AATGCACAATATTTCTTTATAATACATTTAAACAGTCAATTTTTTAATCCTTTTACTGTCCTATTGTTCTTTGATTAATAAGTGTATAGGACTGCAGTGTTCGATGCCACAAGGTTTCCCACGAGGTAGGGAAGGTATTGGCAGAAAGGATGTATTTAATGCACCTAAGCTGTTAATTGTTGTTTCTTAGGAATATGTACAGAAAGAGATCTTTAGTAAGCATCATAAAGGCTTGAAGTGTTAGTAGCATCAGCTGTTGGCATATGAACTGTAACTTTGGGGGATTTTTGAATGGGAACTACTTAGGGTTGCCAAGGAGGGCATCTCAGTGGCATCATGTGGTAGGATTACCTCAGTAGCTTTTCCCCAAAACATAGAACAAATATTTGTGGAATAATTTTGCCTTTATGTTTTCAGTAATAATTCTGTGATGTTTTGTAAGAAAAGCTGTGCTTAGGATTCTTTACCCATAATACCTTTAAAAGAACTTCTTATTATCTATACATCTGCTGGCTATGAGTTTCTTTTGTTTTATGTTTATTACTTGACTTGCATATAGAAAATAATAGTTTATTTTAAGACTGTGCCTATCTAACTGTCAGGAATTGGTTCACCTGTTATTGCTTTGTCAGAAAGGTTGCTCTATGTTAATATGTTTATATTTCTTCCATGTATAAATACTTACATTTAGTGTCCAATTAATTTCTCAGTTATTCCTGAGTATATTAATTTCTGTAGGTCATCTATTCTTAAATAATTTTTATTGTCTGTCCTTTGAAAATTATTTCCATATCCTGCTGTTACATGAATATTGGAGCTAGACATACAATCCTAGTAATAGTCTTGATAATCTAATTTCTATTTTATATTCGTCTTGTATTTGTCTGTAATATTTAAACATATAAAGCAAAAATAGATAGGAAATATTTATTCCTTTTTTGCGTTATTTACAATTTTATCATCTGCTCCCTGCAAGGAGCCTTTTGCCATTCGTTTCTTCCTTCCCCTCCTTGTAGGTTGTTCTGTTCTCTTTATTTTTCTTACTTGCTGCCCAATAATAATTTGTTAATTCTTATTGTATCTTTCATGTACACCTAATACTGCTGGCAAAAATTTTGCAATCTTCTTGTCTTCTTTCATATGATTTATCTCGTTCCATGGTGGTGTCTGCTGTGATGTTGAAAAAAAAAAAAAAAAAAAAAGAGAGAGAGAGAGAAATATAATTACCAAATGGTGTTTGTGTTCTTTAAGTGGTGCCAAAAGTTTGAATGTCTTATCTGTGGTTATATTGCAATTCAGTAATACAGTTAATAAGGTGTGACCACATAATTAAGTCCATTTTGCTACACTTGTAGATGTTAGACCAAATGCATTCTTGATGTAATGTGTAAGGGATGGCAAAAACATCAGTTCTTACTCTGTGATGGCAAATATGATTTGCTTGGTTTCTTTGTATTGTGACGTTGGGGTACAGCCCTTCTCCATGAATAAGTAGTCTCTCCAAGTGCTACTGTGATTACATATATAGTGGAAAATGAAATTCTTCCGGTTGTTTAATTGTAACTATATGTTGACAGCATTTCTGAGTACTTATCTGTAGCAGTTTGATTCTGTATGTCCAGATTTGCAGAGTAGGCATTTTAGGCTTATGTCAAGTCTCTGAATTAACTCATCATTTTACAGCCCTTTGAACTAAAGCCATAAATGTTTTCTTGAGATATGTAAGCAATTTAGATTGAAATTTGGTGCAGATTTCAGTTCTGAAAGTAAGTTGTCCCTTTTGTATGTAGAAAAACAACATTTTGTGCGTGTTCTGGTCTATTACAGTATCACTGAGGTTATTCTATATTCAGAGCAAGGAAGTGCTGGGGTTTTGGATCATGGTTTCTTTTTGTATTTTTTGGCAGTCTTCATTCACTTAATTATTTCTGCTTTCAATTGGTAACTTCAAAGCTAACAGAAGTGTGTAGAGTAATACAAATCTTTTTGTCATAGCTTGGTTGTCATTCTTAACCCTTCTTCTGCTTCATTGCTTTTTTTTAATACCAGATGTAAACCTCAGCATTCGATAATGCAACTTTAATGTCACATTGGCTCTTAACTATGAGTTAAAAATCAGTAAACTGTTTGTGTCAGAAAGTAAGATTTAGCCATACATGCAGGGAAATTGATGCTGTTGAATGTCCAGTCACATTAAATTTTAATTATTAGAAAGAATAAATGTTCCTTTTTACCTTCTGTCTGAAAGACGGTTACAATGTAGTTGAGATTGTCTATGAAACTTTATCATAACCTCAGACTGAAATGAGAGGGAAGCGAATGATTCTGGGATGTGAAATCATGTTCACTGAGTCCATTTCTGGCAAAACCGCACTTGTAATATTGTGGAAATTACAATTTGCTTTATTTAAAAGCAGGTGAAGAGTTTTTGTAATTTTTTTTTTTTTTAATATATATATATATATGACCAAATATAAAGGATGATTGAACATTCCAGATTGGATTCTAAAGGATTCTAAACCTTCTTAATGCAACTTTGTGGCGGCACGAGATCATTGTATTTCTTTCAGAGAGGACCAGCAGATGCCTAGACAGGGATCATTGCGTTCTAGTTCTCATGAACATTCCAGATTGGATTCTAAAGGATTCTAAACCTTCTTAATGCAACTTTGTGGCGGATCAAGATCATTGTATTTCTTTCAGAGAGGACCAGCAGATGCCTAGACAGGGATCATTGCGTTCTTTAGTTCTCATGCTGATCTGCTTGTTGATGTTACTTAAGGAATTTTCTCTGAGCATTTTCTTACCTGAAAATGGGAATAATGGTGTTTATCTACTTCGTGTAGTATTGAAATGTGGATACAATAGCAAAAAAAAGAACCAGTTATTATTCTTATGGGAAAGATGAAGGTTAGTTACTACCTCTTGGAACAAGTTATTATTAAGTATTCCTCAGGAAGAAGAGATTGAAGGTAAGAAGACAAGTGAATGTTTCTCAGAAGGTAGAGGGTAAAAGTAGTTCCTGAAATCTTGACTCCAAAGAAATTAAAGCACTGACAGACCCTTAATACACAGTTTTTCCCTCTAGTAAACCTCATACTGACTGGAAGCAGCTAGCTGTCTGGCACCTAGAGTCCAGTCGTGAACAAAAAGAGAACAATTTGTGCACAGTCAGTCCCCTCTCTGTGTTAAAAGAGGATGGGGGCTCCCTACATAGCTGATTTTAGCCAGCATTACTGTGGTGACTATGGCTGGAAAGATACTTCCTGTGGAAGTGAGGATGCTAGTTTTCCCCTCCCACTTAGATATTAATGATTTGTGTGCTTGGCATAACTATCTACAGTTGTCTTGTTTTCTCCCTTTCTCAAAAGGAGCAGAAGCTGGAATCCTTCAATTAACTAAACCTATGAATGTGTTTCAGACTGAAATAGTTTGATGGGCAGGTGATTTCATATTAGTTTACACTTCAACATCATCTGGGATTTACCCAAAGGCTGATAAATACTTGTGTTCAGGATGAGGAATGTTAGGCTTTCATTCCCAAGTAGTCATTCCACACTGTGTGGCTTAATTTTGAAATAGCAAATTTTCTAAGGTGTTCTGATTGTTTCCATCTAGTGGATGTTTTAAGGAACACACCTCAGTCTGTAAGTATACTGGATCTGTACACCGAAGTAAAGAGAGAGCTTGAAACTTCCAGTTTCTATATTACTGTAATATAAACCAACCTGATTTGTGCAAGAAACTATGCTGGATATAGCTTTTGCTTTGGCTTAGCCAGAGTAAAGATTCCTTGAAGTTCTTCTGGCATATACTTCCATACAATAATTAACAGTATGTGCATATGTAGCTGCATAATATACTTTGAAAAAGGTATGTCTAAAATCATTAACTGCAATGTGATAACAGCTATACAAAGAAAGTGTCTCAAAATTGACCATAATCTAACATTTTTTGTGTTTTCAGTGTTTTAAATGTGATTTTAGCATATTTTTATTATATTTTTAAATTAAATTTTGCTTACATCTTTGCTCTGAAAACTATAAATCACAGACTTGTCTTGGAAAATGCAGAATTGGATTAGAAAGAATTTGCTAGATTATGAAATCCAGCACTTAATGTTACTGGAGATAAGGCTATCCTTTCGCTCTCACTAGTTGATCAAGTGCCACTTTAAAACAATCAGTTATTGCACTTTTTACTTCTTTGAGGTGGCTGTTGTAGAATGGCAGTCCTTTGGTTTAAAAACCTCTTGCTTATTCCAGGGCAAATGTATTGTTGGCTAGTTAATATCTATTTTTTATTTTGCTAGTGTTGTGCCTCATCTTAAATACATCTTTTTCCCTACATAATGTTTAACCTCCCTGAACTTATTCAGAGAGAGCAAACCTTTTCCTCTGCTGCTTTTGAGTGTTAAGCAGCATATTCACATAATTTCTTATAAGAGAATTTTCTTTTATTTTCATTTTTTATAACCATGTTAATAGTTGTACAGTTGTTGTACTTGTTCTATAGGATGTTGTATTCCAGGTAATGTATTGCAAATGCTTTTAATGATTGCACTACCGCTTTCTGGATACCTGGTGGGAATTTCTAAGACTGCTGTGTTCTGGGGTCATCTGTGCCTTTTTTCCACCACTGCATCACCTCATAGCTCGTTCATTTGTTGACAAATTAAGGCACCAACTCTCTCTAACTTTGCATTCAGTTATATATTAATTTATAGCTCTCTTTCCCAGCTTGTTTTTCCAAGTTTCCCCTAGCCCTGGAATGCCGTTCTCTTTTCCTTTGTACTTGGGATTGTCTTTTGTCTTTGGAGTTCTAACTTTTATTCAGGTTATAGTTAATGCAGTATTGTGTGGTGAGAACCAACTAAAATCTGTGAGACACAGTGTATATTACATACTGTTTACATGTGATATAAATGTCTGTGTGATTTTGTGTATTATGATTCGCTACCTTGATATACTGAGTGCTTTTATTGTCTGTTTTCCTCACAGCCGGTTGCTGAACCAATTCCAATCTGCAGTTTCTGCCTTGGTACAAAAGAGCAAAATCGGGAGAAGAAACCTGAAGAGCTCATCTCTTGTGCTGACTGTGGCAACAGTGGTAGGTGATAATTTACAGTGCTGCTAGTAATAACTCATCCACTTGAGACAGAAGAGCTTGGTATAGTGACTGCTACTGACCCATACATATGAGGAGTATGCATCTAATAATAACCTTGCCACTGGAAACAGAGAAGTCTAGTACAGTGACTACTCCTGACCCATACATATGAGGAGTATGTATCTATGGCATATGATATAGTTAGTTTAGCTGAATCTCATGCTCTCAGAAGGGAGACAGTTAAGTTAACCGAACACAAATAGTTCATTTGGCTCCTGGAGGTTTCTTTAAAAATGTGGTAATGATGACCAGTGTTATCATGTTTCTCAATTCAGTTATGAAAAATTATCTTGGTGTTCTTTTGTATGTGGGCCTGCCACTTGCTATCTAGGGTATTGTTTTTGTATTATAAGTAGATAAGAATAGAAGCACCTAAAAATAGGAGTATCTGGATAACCAAAATTCTGCATGGGAATACGTAATTGATAAAGTAATCTCTCTGTGAGCTATCTGTGAGCATTAATAGCAGAGGAATGGCTTTACTGGTATAATTTTCTCCTTTCTCTGTAGGTCATCCGTCCTGTTTGAAGTTCTCTCCAGAGTTGACAGTTCGAGTGAAAGCCTTGCGATGGCAGTGTATTGAATGCAAAACATGCAGTTCCTGTCGAGATCAGGGCAAAAATGCTGTGAGTATAGTGGAATATGGACTGAACGAAGAGGATATCAGTCTTGTGGATGTTGTTAAACTACAAAATAAAATCATTCTAGAGTCAAATATTTGCAGCTTTTGTTTGAGTCTGGTAGTCTTTCTGAGACCTGTGAAATACTATGATATGTCTGTAGTTGAAAACTCTGTGTGTGTTCTCTGAAATGGTGACAAATTAATGGAGGGCTTGATGCTGATGCACATCTAAAGAGAGATTAACTTTATCTGTCTTCAACAGGATAACATGCTATTTTGTGACTCATGTGACCGTGGCTTTCACATGGAGTGCTGTGACCCCCCTCTTACCAGGATGCCAAAAGGTGAGGACTTTGTGATGAAAAGGGTAACTTAAGATGGTGTTGGAAGAGAGCACTGGGTAGAAAGTGCTTCCACATATTTGATCCTCTTTTAGCTACATTTAACTTGTTCTTTACAGCATTGCTTTTCAGGTATTAGAAACTAGAGAAGGGTCAGAGCTTCACATCCGGATTTTCCACTATCTCCTGCTTCCTGTACATTACTGTCTGTGAGGGTTTTGAAAAAAATCTTTGAGGTTTGAGGGAATAGAAGTGATCCTTGCAGGTTAAAATGATCAGCTTCCATTTGAATGAATAGTCTTGTACAAAAGAAAGAGATGGGCTTCTTAAGTTTTTGAAGTCATATCCATTTGGACAGTAGAGAATCCTGGAGGACAACCAAACTTCTGTTTTCCATCAGAAAGCAGGTTATCTATGAAGATTCTTCCTTGACAGTTAGAAGAAAATTTTCCTATAGAAGATAGTTGGAAGTAGTGTAGTCCTAAGCAGAATATGGGATAAATAAATGTGTTACTTCTTTATGGTTTTCTGATAATGTGCTACGAATTAAAGAGACTTCCTGCATGGTTGTGGGAAGTTTGTCTGGGGGGGGAGGGGGAAATTAACTGGACTTGAGTTTAGATTGCTGGAACATATACATAATTTTTCTTACATGTATATGTGATAATTGAGGCCTTTGGTACTGTTCCTACCCTTTCTGTCAGAAGGCCTGGGGCCTGTAATTCTCCTTTTTGTCCTATATAGATGTCCCCTGCATTCAGTGATGGGGACTTGTGTCTTATAGGTATGTGGATATGTCAAATATGTCGGCCACGGAAGAAAGGAAGAAAACTTCTACACAAGAAGGCAGCACAGATAAAACGACGGTATGCTAACCCAATAGGACGTCCCAAAAACAGGTTAAAGAATCAAAATACAACGTAAGTCTCTCTATAAGGAGGAGTAAAGTGTGAGATTCTGTAGGGGAGTGGGTATTTCTGAAGTGTCTGGTCTACTCTGTGAGAAGATCTCTTTTACAATGAAGAGCTTTTTGTTATTTAATACAGAATTTCTGAAGAGTGCTGTGAAAGACTAGAAGTAATCTGAGTGCTTCTTTTTGCCTAGATTTGTGACTATTTGTAATAACTTGCTATTTAGTTTTGAACTACTCCTTATAGCCATAGATTAATTTTGCTGTTCATGTCCAGTCTGTTTTGCTGGATGGCTGCTTCTTCCAGCATAATTGTTTTGCTTTGCATTTCTCAAGAACCCTTTCTGATGTTTAGAGAAACTAAGTAATCTACAATAAAGCATGTGAGGTGGTTGTTTGATGTATATTTGATCTGACACTGCTGCCAGAAAATATTTGGCCCCTTTCTGCTTCCATTCCACATGTTTCTGCATTTTTGGGGCACTCTATTGGGCTGGGACAGATTGTGTGGCCTCATACTAGCTTCTATGAAGAAAATATCCCAGCCAAAACCAGCATACCTTGTCATGGTTGTTGTGGGGCAGCCAGTCGTCAGGGAACTGGATTTGGGTGGGCGGGAATTCTTTGGATAACTGTTCAGCCAGAGCAATTTCCTTGAATTAAGATTGCTGTGCAGTGCCTGTTGTGATGCAGCTCTATTGACTGTGCAGGGGACAAAACAGTGAAGGAGCATGTCACAAGAACTTCTGTCTTTGGGCATCAGGTCAGCTTTAAAAAAAAACGTTGAACTACCACTTGATTCTAACCAATAGCATCAAAGGATGTTCTGGAAAAAAAACCTTATGAAGTTTAATGCTTATAAAAACGTAGAGGGAATGTCTCTCTTAAACACCCTATTTTTTTTCAGTCTGTGTGATACCTTTGCTTAGAGGAACTCCTGATATAATTCAGAGGGGCAAAAGTAAAGCTAGCTATCTGCTGTTGCTGTTTTACCTTTTTTAATTTTTATGTCATGATTTATTCACAATTTTTTTGCCTTTGTTCCATCATTTCACTTGCAAAATGTATCCACAGAATTATGCAGATGCTTAGTTTGTCTTTTTGGAAAAAGCAGCCTATTTCTATCCTCTGTAGCTGCAAAGTTTGTAGCTAAAAACAGTCAGCTTCCTGAAACAGCAGTCGGTCTAGAGCAATCCCTCTGAGAAGTGTTAAATACTCAGTTATCTCAATAGAGTTTTAAAATTTCCAGCCTGAAAGATGGCAGCTGGTTGGAGATCGACACTGTTTTCTGCTAAGATGACCATCAGTGGTATAGGTTCTTAGCTAACTGACACTTGCAAGTCTATGGGGCCGGATGGGATCCACCCGAGAGTGCTGAGGGAGCTGGCGGAGGAGCTTGCCA